GATGCTCTATCAAGATTATCGCAGGATAAGTTCATAAAAGGTGATGAAACAGACATGATAGCCTGGTTAACCGAAGAAGTAAAGCCTAACGCACTTACCATCGAGGAAATAGAGAAAGAGACTCTTGCCGATGATGAATTACAGGCAGTAAAAGATGCTTTATACTCTGGAGTTTGGGAAGAGGTACCAAATGAATATAAAACAGCGACCATCAAAGATGATCTGACAACATACGGTGAGGTAATTCTACGAGGGGACAGAATCATCATACCAGAGAACTTGAGAGAAAAAGTAGTGAGACTTGCTCATGCTGGACATCAAGGGTGTACATCGATGAAGGCCCAATTACGGGCAAAAGTATGGTTTCCTGCGATGGACAAGTTGGTAGAAACATTCGTTCGGAGCTGCAAGCCGTGTAAAATGACAGCCCTACCCGACAAACCAAACCCTATTCACCGCCGAATTCCTACGGAACCGTGGCAAGACTTAGCCATCGATTTTAAAGAAGGGCTTCCAGGTGACATGTCATTATTGGTTGTCGTCTGTTATACAACACGATTCATACAAGTTGAACCTATGAAACCAGCCACGGCTCAACACGTGATCAAGGCACTTCTTAGAATGTTCGCTGCATTCGGTATTCCCAGATCAATAACGTCAGATAACGGGCCGCAATTTAGAGCAGCGGAATTTCGGAACTTCTGTGTTAGTTATGGAATTCATCTAAATTTGACTACACCATACTGGCCGGAACAAAACGGGGCGGTAGAAAGGCAAATGCGCACTCTTGGAAGGCGCATTAAGATCAGCTTGATTCAGAAAACCGATTGGAAAACCGATCTTTATGAATACCTCACTTTATACCATACGACACCACAGGAAACAACGGGAGTATCACCTGGTCAAATGATGTTCAATCGTGAACTCAAGAGCAGAATTCCATCCATTTATAACCCACCTAGCCTGAAATGGGAAGCAGCGAGGGACAGGGATATGAGCAAGAAAGAATATCATTCACAACGAGCAAACCAACAAAGACAGGCGAAAGAACATGATTTGGGAAGAGGAGACACGGTGTTAATGAGGAATTTGAAACTAGGGTCAACGGAGCCAAACTTCCGAGAAGAAGAATTTCGTGTAGTTAATGTTGACAACGGGGCAGTCGCTGTCCAATCAAAAGAATCCGGGAAAGTTTATGTGAGAAATAGCACACACCTCAAGAAACTGGACAACGGTCAACATACGCCAGGAGTAGAGGTGAGCTCTTATAGCGAAGAGCTAGGCGAACCAGCTCCTTACAATTCCGGTGTTCCTAACCCGGAGTCACGAGAGGCAGATGTCAATACTCGACACCAGAGGATCCGTAAACGACCAGCTAAGTATAATGATTACGTAGAGTAACACTAGAAGTGAAATAGTTTATAACTACATAGTAATAAAAGAAGCAGTTTGATTAACATAAGTAACATAGTTTGGGTTTAAAAAAAAGGAGGGATGTAACGATAAGTAGTTACATGATATTGACATGTATTCAGTGACGGGTATCAGAGATGCAGACAGAGAGAGAGTGAGATGTGTGACAGAGAATGATAGAGAAAACGACGGCGCTGGCGACACGGGTCAGAGGAGTGAGTTAAGATCGAGACGTGGATCGGAACAGGCAACGTTTTCACAATAGCCAATACAACCTGTTACTACTCTGCATTGAACAAATTCTAGAAAATTGTTTCGCCTAGCTGTAGCAATGCAAAGAGAAAATCGATGAAGAGAATCGATCATCGCGTATTCGCCCTTATGAATGCTCACTGTCGAGTTCTTCTTCTTCTTTCCTTTATTTAACGTCGGTCTCTGTTCCGCGTGCTAATCACCGACGGACTTCGATTGCCATCCATCCATTGATGGCAATCGAATGTGCAGGAAGGCAGCTTCCACACCTGCGTAGGAAATCGTACCCGTTCAAACACACATGGGCCGGGGCCAACGGTTTTTACTTCCCTTCCGAAGGAAGACGTGACCAGAGATTTTTATGCCTCAGAAAAATCCCACCGAACTCGGCTGGGATTGAACCCAGACCCATTGGGATGAGAAAGCAGTCACGCTTATCGCTACACCACCGGCGTCGGCTGAGTGTGAGTTGACAAAGACAGAAAGCATACGTGATAAATAAATAATCTATGATAAAACATTGTGCAGATCATCCAAACAGGGGTGGTATTAAAATTTAAGTTGGAGTTTACCGCCATTAGAGTTCATTTTCAGCAAACATTGTCCGCAGCTAGTGTCACTTTTTCTCGAGTAAGTGAACTCAAATCCATCGGTGCACTCGTTATACGTAACACAAACGGAAGGACCCCCAACTGTAGTCAGCGGATAGAATTTCGATACACTGATAGGCAAAATAAAGTGCCCACCCCATCATTTTTGAAATTTCTCTCATTTATTTGGTTCAAATTCAAATAAACACACCGTAGTCTGTTTCGATGTCTTACCTTTATTATTCTTTTAAAGTTACACCTATGGAATACTGAAAATATAAAGTTTTACTTGAAGTAAAAGAAAATCAATTTGGATTGAAAAAGAAAACAGTGACAAAAAAAAGTGCCCACTTCAAAAATCGGTATGTTTTCGATAAGTTTCCATCGGAAAACCCCTCGATTGTTTTTGTTTTGAAAGTTTGACATGTATTGAAGCAAACGGGTGGAACTGGTGCATTTGTACACGTGATCGCATTTGAATCAGTTGAAAAAAATGGAGGACGTAGTGATTTCGAAAGCAATTCCCGTGTGTATCCGAAAATTGGTTGTTCGTGATGTGCAAAACGGTGAATCGCACCGGTCTGTCGCTAGGAAGTACAATATCAGCAAAACAGCGGTCGGGAAAATTCTGCAGAAAATGAAATCGTTCGGATCAGTGGTGGATCGCCCTGGCAGAGGCAGGATGCGCAAAACGGATGCGAGAACGGACACCAAGATCATGCGTGAAGTGAAGAAGAACCCGAAGGTAACTGTCCGCGAGATCCAGGAGGCTCTTCAGCTAACAGTTTCCAGTCGAACTGTTCGTCGCCGTCTCGTAGCACAGGGGTTGAACAGCAAAGTTGCTCGGAAGCGCCCATTTATCAGCAAGGCAAACAAAGTCAAACGGCTTAAGTTTGCTAAGGAGCATGCTGATAAGCCCCTAGAGTTCTGGAAAACGGTTCTCTGGACGGACGAATCAAAATTCGAACTGTTCAACCGGAAGCGACGGGTTCGTGTGTGGTGTAGATCGGGTGAGGAGCTTCAGGAGCGCCACATACAAGGCACGGTGAAGCATGGAGGAGGAAATGTGATGGTCTGGGGGTGCTTTTCGTGGGGTGGAGTGGGAAGCCTGGTGAAAATCGACGGGATAATGACGGCAGATTCCTACATCGACATCCTGCGGGAAAATCTGGAAGTTTCGCTGATCCAGACGGGCCTTGAGGAGAAATTCGTATTCCAGCAGGACAACGATCCGAAGCATACTGCCAAGAAGACTAAGTCTTTCTTCCGGTCATGTCGAATTAAACCACTGGAATGGCCTCCACAAAGCCCGGACCTCAACCCCATCGAGAATTTGTGGGCGATTCTCGATGCCAGGGTTGACAAAACTGGTGTTACCAATAAAAATAACTATTTTGAAGCCCTGGAGCGCGCCTGGGAAGAACTAGATCCACAGCACCTGAAGAATCTAGTGGAGAGCATGCCGAAGCGCCTGCAGCTGGTCCTGAAGGCCAAAGGAGGACACATTAACTATTAGGCTGGTATTCTTTTACTTTATTTTATGTTTTCTGGAGTTAAAATGCAGTGGGCACTTTTTTTTGTCACTGTTCTTTTTTACACCCATTTTGATTTTTTTTTCTTCGAGTCAGTCTCTTCTTTTTATCTGGTATTCTATAAGTGAAACTTAAAAAGAATATAAAGAATAAGATATAAAAAATACTACAGTGTATTTACTTTAATTTGAACCAAATAAATGAGAGAAATTCAAAAAATGATGGGGTGGGCACTTTATTTTGCCTATCAGTGTATATCTAAAAGCGGAACCAATTTTATGTATTGTAGAACAACAATTGAAAAGGTAATATCAACTTTTATAAACAAAACATTGATTATTCTTTCCACGTGAATCGAACACAAATTACCAGCATCATTGGATCGGATTTCACCAACCCAAAGATGGTGTTAGTTTGCGTAGGTGAGCCTTGAGTCACGAGAAAAGGGTTTCCGAAGTTTTGTTCGCAATAGCTGATGTGATCTTTTCTGTTGTTGGTCGTAATTTGCTCGATTGGTTTCGCCATTTGACAGCTCAATTGGTTCCCGAGTTTCTATCCACCAGACTATGAATATAGCGACTATACACCCAACCCCTTAAGGCCGGCGCACAATGGATACGTTTTCAGGTTTTTTGACAGTTAGCCCATGCATTATCTGTCAAAAAACCCGAAAACGTATGCATTGTGCGCCGGCCTTTACTCTGACTGCACACGAAACGAAAATCAATTATTTTATTCATGTACATTTTTGCCAAAACATCAGCCTTATACATTCCATAAGACAAACCACACAGGTCCTATAAGAATGCATAAAAGGTATGTGTGACCGCTTATACATTTCATTTGACACATGATCTTCATTAACTTTTCGCAAGGCGTCTGCTTATTAGTTGACTTATACATTTTATGAATAATCAGCAATAGAAATTTACCAAAAGGTATAAGGAAATTTCTATCCGTGCAGCTCATTGATTAATACCCCGCCCTTTATAGTTTTACGTAGCTTATGAATAGCTTTAAGCCCGCCTTAGCCGTCGTCTCAAATTTGACAGTTCCCTTCATCAGTGCACCCCGTGCACCCGAATCGAGAGAGAATTCACGTACCGCTGTCAACAAAACTGAGAGAGTGAGCCGTTGGGAAAAAATCGCGTGCGAGCGGAAAAGAAACAAAAAGAGCAAAGAACCAAAACACCATCGTCTTCTTTTGTCGTCCAACCCGCAGCAGAGGAAAAGACCCATCAGATCAAAGTGATTCACCTCGCGGCTCGGATCGGAAGTAGTTTTTTTTTGTGTGTGAAAAGTAGTAATGACCAGCAACAGCATTCTGCAGTCGGTTCGGGAGGACGATTTCATCGAGTACTGGCTGTTTCCGACCGGTCTGGATAGGAAGGATGTGTCGCTGGAGAACTGCGACTCCCTGCTCGAAGCGCTCCGAACGGAGGTCAACAAACTGGCCGCGGATTACTGTCAGCGATACATTTGGCACCGGGATGGGTTCAAGGTCGCTGCCCGGAAGGGTGATCGCTTGCAGCGGTTGCTCCTCGAGGCCAGCGAAGTTCAGGAAGAGAATAAAGGTAAGGGTGGGTTTTTGTTTGCGTATAGCTTTGTGTTCTGTCCGTCTGCGCTTTTTGCGTGATTAACAAATTCAGTGCTGCCAGTTTGGTGTTTTAGGATATTACATTTCATTTATTAAAAAAATTGATATAAACAGTTGATAATAAATCACAACAAACTGCATTTTTGCCTATAGGCAGTAAGAACCCTAATACATTTTTATGTAAAATTTGCTTAACGACGTGTTCGGGGTATCATCCAAACAATTTGTGGAATAGTCCTATGATTTGGGTTTATCGTTCATTTATGGTATTTATTATCATACCTTATAAATGGCTAGAAATCTCTGAATGCGTGTGGGCACGATAAAACGGAAAACTCCATGGAGTCAACGACGTTGCCCGCAACTCTAGAAATCTTGTATACCTAGTTCAACTCTAGTGGACTCTTGAGATGGGTGTTATGCCATTAACAAACATGATTGTAGTACTGTTGTACTCCTTTAATCTAGTACGTCGTTTGCGGTACCGGATTAAAGGAGTACAACGGTACTACAATCATGTCTGTCAATGGTATTATGGGTTATATGAAATGATAATTACAAGTGAATTCTAAAGAAAGTTCCTAGGAAATTCTGCGAAAAATACCAAGTGAATCAAGTTTTTATTATACAATTCCAAATGATGTCTGAGAATAGTTTTATGGGAAAGTTTTTCTAAAGAAACATATCGCCAGCTTACTCATACCGTTGCATCATGTGTTTCGAATGTCCATCTCGAGTGGTATATGTCCTTCTAGTTGGAAATTTGCATATACCGTGCCGATTCAAATTTCGGACACTTAAACTCGAATTTCGGACACTTTTAAAAGTTGATTATCTCGGTCGAATATGATCCACATGTCTTGTAAATTTTAAATTTTTTTGACTAGTGCCCTCCACGATCATCTAACATTATTACTTTGTTTCTAACTGGATGTAATATTTAATTAAAAATGAAAGTGTCCGAAATTTGAATCGTCCGAAATTTGAATCGGAACGGTATGTTTCCTGTATACAAAAAGTGAAGCATGCGGGACGTGGATAATTATCGTGGAATTACATCGTTGTGTGCAATTTCGAAGCTATTCGAGTTAGTCATCATAGAGCCTCTGTTCTCCCATTGTAAGCAGTACCTTAGCGGTGATCAACATGGTTTCACTTCCGGTCGTTCTTTTACCACTAATCTGCTGTGTCTAACATCGTATGTCACGGGTAGTATGATTAAAAAGGTTCAACAGAAGTCATTTACACCGACTTGTCAGCAGCCTTCTATAAGCTAAATCATGCCATCGCAATTGCCAAGTTGCATAGACTTGCGACTTGCGGGTAGCTCTTGAAATGGTTTCGCACTTATCTTACTGATCGGCAGTTGGTGGTAGCTGCCGGTCTGATATTTTTCTAGCCCCGTCAGGAATAGCTCAAGGAAGTCCCAACCAATGATCTTCTTACTCTACTTCAATGATGGGAATTTGGTTATCAGATGATCTTGAGGATCTGCTCGATTGATGACTATCACTTCCTTCAACGTCATTTGCAATTTGAACCGAATGACGGTTAACCGAACGAAGTGTTCAGTGATCACTTTTACTCGATTGATGGAACCGGTTATATTTGACTATGATCTTCGGGACATAATGATCGAATGGTCATTCTAGATTCTCAACTTACGTACAAGCAACACATCTCGTACGTTGTTGACTTGGCGTCAAGGACATAGGGCTTTATCTTTAGGATTGCAGTACATCTATTGCCTCAAGTCACTGTAATGCTCCTTGGTGCGATCCATTCTGGAATACTGTTCTGTGGTGTGGAGTCCAAACGACAACAATGGTGCTGAGAGAGGTTTTTTTTTTTTTTTTTTTTTTTCCTTTATTATAGAGATTTTTAGCCTGAGGCAAATGCTGAGAGAGGGAGATAAGGGAAGTCAAATCGAATCCTCAGTTGGTGTGGAACTGCTCAATAGAACAATTGGGCAATTTGCAAATTTGGGAAGTGGTCTTAGCCTGCCTGCAAAGACAAATCCAAAGAAAGAAAAATGGGAAGCCGGAATGTCGGAAAGTTAGTAATTCGAAATAATGGTTCAGAAATTTATAAATCAAGAAATGAATAAATGAATAAATGAAGTAATTATTCTGCAGGTAGGGGTAAGAGGGGCATAGTGAACAGGTGGGGCCGGCCGTTCGGAACAAATTTATTAGTGGTAGGTGTTGAGTGTAGCAACGCACCCGCAACGCTGCCAACCTTGAAGAGAGAAACCCATTTCATTTTTTACCAACACACCTAAACTCTGTAAAGTACGCAATAAAGGACAGTCAATTTTCTATAGCAGAACAGACCAGACGCGTTTTCTTTCGTTCCACGCGGAAGAAAATTTTCATTTACAGTCCACTGTTTCTCCCGAGCTCGTTCATTTCTGGTCCTTCGAACCGGATTTTCACTAGTTATCGGGAAGTTGGCCAACTTTCGTGCGAAGAAAGTTGGAGTTCGCAAGTGAATCGGAAGATTCCGGAAAGATCACCTTGTGTATGGTGTTAAATCGGTGGAACCGCTGCCGAAAGTGTGACGCCATCTTGGGTGATTCGAATGAAAAGTGCTATCGTCAGGCAAAGCTTTGTCTGCGTTGCAGTTTTGTGAAGATAACCATCAGCACGGTGTTCCGTCGGCGGGATTGCACCCGATTTGTGACGCCTTTTGGCGAATCGCGTAATAAATATATCACCCATAGCGGTGAAATTTGAAGCTAGTGCTTTCGTTTGTTGGAAAACTTCGCGTGTGCATGGTGTTGCAGCCGTAGCTGAAAGTGTGACGCCATTTTGATTCGTGCATCGAGGAGAGTGATAATTGCTGGCAAATTTTTGCATACCGCTTGTCCGGACTTTTGCCGGTAGTATCGCAGCTGGATTGTGACGCCGTTTGGTGAATCGCGTTGTGAAAATATCACCCATAGCGGTAAAATTGTTGTGAAAAAAAAAAGTTTGTGCTTTCGTGAAGAAAAGAACGCCACTGCCGTGAGTGCGGTGTTGTGTTGATCGTACTTCTTCAGTGAAGAATTGCGACGCCATTTTGGCGAACCGTTTGAAGCTTTTGCTTTAGTGAAAAGAAGAAGTCTTTCCCTGATGTTGTGAAGATGATGCACACTCCTAAAAATACAAAAGGCAACGCGCAAGCTGGAGCACAATCCAAAAACGGTGAAGATCAAAAAGACGAACCAGTCAGTGAACAAAAGAAAAAACAAAAGAAAAAAGAAGAAATGAAGAAAATAAACGAAGAACTGAAAGTGATCAAAATCCAATTGGATGCAGTGAGAAGAAAGCTGAACAGGGTGCAGACGGCACTCAAAGTGAATGCGGATGTGCCAAATCCTAATTTGGAAAATAGGCACTTTCTGCAACTGCAGCTGAAGACCATCGAAGATGCGTTGGTGGAATACAATGCCAACCAGCAGCGCATCTACAGCTTGGACGTGGGTGATGAGGCTCGCGAGGAAGCAGACGTAATGTATGTCCGATTCGAACAGCGATACGGTGAGTTGTACGTTTTCATTATTAAATTGCTGGACGATATTGTCAAGAAAGAGAATGTTCCGGTAGTAGCAGCAGCTCCAGTACCGGTAGCTTCCGCTGCAGCGATGCACCTACCGCCGCTCAAGGTACCGTTGCCTACATTTGACGGTACATACGAGAACTGGTATGCATTCAAGTCTATGTTCGAAACGATTATGAATCGCTATCAGTCGGAGTCCCCAGCGATAAAATTATACCACCTTCGCAACTCGCTGGTAGGCAAGGCTGCAGGAATAATTGACCAGGAGATAATAAACAATAACGATTATGCAGCTGCTTGGTCGACATTAACCGAGCGATTCGAAGACAAACGGTTGATCATCGATAAGCATATCGATGCCCTTTTCGATCTTCCAAGGATGACGAGCGAGAACGCAACAGAATTGCGTAAGCTGATAGACGTCTGTTCGAGAAATGTTGATGCCCTCAAAAACCTTGAGCTTCCAGTTGAAGGATTGGGAGAAAGTATGCTGATCAATCGAATAACAAAGAAGTTAGATGACGAAACTCGCAAGGCATGGGAATTGGACCAATCCGCAAACGAAATGCCGGATTACGATTCAACGATGGAATTTCTGAAAGAGCGATGCCGAGTGTTGGAGAAGATCCGTGTTCCGGAGAAGCGCATCGTTAAACCCGTGAAACTACTGAAGCCGACCGTAGAAGTGAGAACCAAGGGTAGCAGTCTAGTGGCAACCGCTGACAAATGTCCACAGTGTTCAAACAACCATGCGTTATGGAAATGTGACGTCTTCAAGAAGGCAAACCTGACAGATCGATACAATACCCTTCGACGCATCGGAGCGTGCTTCAACTGCCTCCAAAAGGGACATCGGACAGTCGAGTGTTCATCGGAACATTCTTGCAAGCAGTGCAACAAACGGCACCACACCTTCCTTCATCCAAACGAGACCTCTACAAAAAAGAGTGAAGCTCCGTCAGCGGTAAACTCAAAAGACGATCAGCAGAATCAGAAGCGAGAGGTACCTGCTGGGCCTAGTACTTCAACACCTGCCATCAGTAAGGAGGAACAGCAGTCAAACTTCTGTACTCGACCAAAGTCGGGTAGACAGATACTACTCTCAACAGCGGTAGTACTGGTCTATGGAAAAGCGAACAACCCGTACCCTTGTAGAGTTCTTCTTGACTCGGGGTCACACACAAACTTCGTTTCGGAACATTTCGCTACGTTGTTGGGATTGAAGAAGCAACCTGCTAACTTTTCGATCGGTGGGTTGAATGAAACGCAAACGAAGGTTCGATTCAAGATACACACGCAGCTGAAATCTAGAGTAACTGATTATACTGCTTGTCTTGAGTTGCTCGTGGTACCGAAGATAACTGGAGAGCTTCCGGTTACAAAGATTGATTCCAGATCGCTCACGATTCCGGGTGATATCGAGTTGGCTGACCCGAATTTCGGAGTTCCCGATAAGGTTGACATGCTGTTGGGTGCCGAAATATTCTTTGAGCTGCTGAAGTCAGGACGTCTACCAGTACCAAACTGTGCAGCGGTGCTCCAAGAAACCCATTTTGGCTGGGTTCTTAGTGGTTCAATACCTGATAAAGGACCTAATGTGGTTCATTCGTTCTGTGTGCGAGCTGAAGAAGATATTGGAGAGCTTGTGAAGCGATTCTGGGAAATCGAAGCGTATTGCGATTCCGAGATTCGGGATGAATCAATCGAAGAGGCTTGCATGAATCATTTTCGTGAAACTCATGAGCGGACTGCAGAAGGACGATACGTTGTTCGTCTTCCGTTTAACGACATGAAGTTGCAGCTTGGTGACTCGCGAACGATGGCAGAAAGGCGCTTCCTGACGTTAGAGAAGAGGTTGGATAGAGCACCAGAACTAAAGGAGCAGTACATGGCGTTCCTACGAGAATACGAGCAGCTTGGCCACATGAAGCTGAACAACGATGTAACCGATGAAGATCCACACTCGGTATTTTATCTCCCTCATCACTATGTCTTGAAGCCCAGCAGTACGACAACAAGGCTTCGCGTGGTGTTCGATGGTTCTGCTGAATCGAGCACTGGTATCTCTATCAATCAGACGCAGATGATCGGACCTACAGTGCAGAATCACTTGGTTTGCATCGTATCGAACTTCAGGGTTTTCAAATACGGCTTCACTGCGGACGTCCCCAAGATGTACCGTCAAGTTGGAGTACATCGAAACGATAGGCAGTACCAAAAGGTTGTAAATAGATACGACAGCAACCACCCGCTCCAAACGTATGATTTACAAACGGTAACATACGGATTAGCTTCGTCTCCGTTCTTGGCCACGATGGCGCTTCTTCAACTAGCCAATGATGAAGAGCAGCAGTTTCCACTAGCTGCAGCCGCAGTCAGGAAGTCCTTCTATATCGACGATGTACTGACTGGAGCGAACACACTGGAAGAAGCTCTAGAGCTGAAGAATCAGATTATCGGATTACTGAAGAAGGGTTGCTTCAGTATGCACAAGTTTTGCTCGAATTCGGAGGCATTACTGGAGGATGTACCGGAAAACATGCGAGAAAGTGTTATCAACATCGAAGACCCAACCATTAATGCAGTCATCAAGACTCTAGGTGTAGCTTGGCAGCCACAGGAAGATTGCTTCACATTTGTCGTTCCAGTTGACACTACAGTTGAACCGAATCGACTCACAAAGAGGTTGATTCTCAGCCAGATTGCGAAGATTTTCGATCCATTGGGTTTCGTGGGCCCTGTGGTGACAGCAGCGAAGTTGATCATGCGGGAATTGTGGTCTCTCAACTTGGATTGGGACGAACCTGTGCCCACTGAAATGGCGAATCTTTGGACGGACTTTCGAAACGAGCTACACTGTCTAAATGAGTTGAAGATACCGAGATGGATCCTTTCGGATGAAGCATGTGCTGTGGAGCTCCACGGGTTTGCAGATGCATCGGACTTGGCATATGGCGCTTGCCTGTACAGCAGGTTGGTGAAAGGCGATGGATCGGCTGATTTGAAGCTGATCTGCAGTAAATCAAGGATTCTTCCGAGAAAGAAAGGAAAGCAGAAAGAGATCACCACCCCGCGAGCGGAGCTGTTGGCGGCTCAACTTCTAGCAAGGCTTACAGTGAAACAGTTGGATGCCCTCGATGTCCAATTCGAATCCGTGGTACTTTGGAGCGATTCACAGATAGTATTGTGCTGGTTGCGCAAATCACCCGATTATCTTGCAGTGTACGTCGGGAACAGAGTCCGAGAAATCCAACGATCGACGGATAATTTCGCTTGGAAATACATCCCTTCCAAGTCGAATCCAGCTGACACGATATCCAGAGGCATACAACCCAAGAATTTGAAGGCGCATGAATTGTGGTGGAATGGTCCACCAAACCTTCGATATCCTGACGGGCGATTCGATGAACCGCCACCTATTCCGGAAGAGGAATTACCGGACCTTCGTAGCGTTGTGCTCGTAACGACACGTAGTCATCCAAGATTGGAACTTTTCGATCGAATAAGCCGATATAGCATCATACAACGTACCATGGCGTATGTTGTTCGATTCTGTGACTACGTCAAGAATGGCAAGAAAACTTTGACCAACGGGCTGCCTACTGTATCTGAAATGACACGAGCAAGCACGTTGATTGTCCGTATGGTGCAGAATGAAGTTTTCGAATCGGAAATCAGCACGCTGAAAGCAGGGAAGGAGTTCAAATTTCCAGTACGTAATTTGAATCCATTCGTCGACGAAAGTGATGGAGTCCTACGTGTGGGAGGTCGATTGAAAAATGCGGCCATTCCATATCAACATAAACATCAAGCGCTGTTGCCCGAGAAACACCCAGTGACGGTAACATTAATACGATACCTGCATCGTACGAATATGCACATCGGACAGCGAGGTCTCCTAGGAATTGTTCGACAGCAATACTGGCCGCTGAATGCGAAGACCCTGATTCGAAAGTTGGTTCATCAATGTGTTCCTTGTTTTCGGACGAAACCAACACGATCCTCACAACTAATGGGGAATTTGCCAGACTACCGAGTGCAACCTTCACCAGTTTTCGCGCACACTGGAATCGATTTTGCTGGCCCATTCAAGATTCGATCGAACACGAAAATAAGGAATGCTGCAGTACTGAAAGGCTACGTGTGTGTGTTTGTATGCATGGCTACACGTGCTCTACATCTTGAAGCTGTCTCCGATTTGACGTCCGAAGGTTTCATGGGAGCCCTTCAACGCTTTGTAAGCCGTCGAGGACTCGTTGTGAAGCTGTATTCTGACAACGCTTCCAATTTTGAAGGTGCTAATAACGAAATGAATCGACTGGCAACCCTGTTCCAGGAAGAACAACATCAGCTGAAGCTCAACGAATTTTGTGCCCAGAGAGCGATCGAGTGGTCATTCATTCCGCCACGCAGTCCTCATTTTGGTGGGATTTGGGAAGCCGGCGTAAAGTCGGTGAAATCGCATCTAAAGCTGATCATGGCAGAACACAAGCTGTCATTCGAACAATTTGCAACTGTGCTGACACAAATCGAAGCCGTGCTAAATTCACGCCCCCTCGTGCCAGTATCAGATGACCCGAATGACATCAATGCCATTACTCCTGCCCACTTTCTGATCGGGCGTGAGTTCCAAGGAATCCAGGAACCGTCGTATGAACATATTCCGCAAGGCAGACTGTCCCAGTGGCAACTGGTTCAAGACATGAAGCAGAAATTTTGGAAGCTGTGGATGCGAGACTACTTGCACGAATTGCAGAAGCGCCCGAAGGATTTCAAGGTCACCGATTACCAGGTGGGAGCCTTGGTCCTCATCGTAGATGAGAATACTCCGCCACTGCAGTGGCAGCTGGCTCGAATCATAGAGTTACATCCCGGCAAAGACGGCCACACACGCGTGGTTAGTCTTCGAACGAAGGATGGAACGACGAAAAGGGCCGTAAAGAAGATCTGTCTTCTGCCCTTGGACAACGAGAGAGATCAACGAGACGAGTAAGGTTTTGAAATTCCCAATTTCAACGGCCCGGAGGATGTTGAGTGTAGCAACGCACCCGCAACGCTGCCAACCTTGAAGAGAGAAACCCATTTCATTTTTTACCAACACACCTAAACTCTGTAAAGTACGCAATAAAGGACAGTCAATTTTCTATAGCAGAACAGACCAGACGCGTTTTCTTTCGTTCCACGCGGAAGAAAATTTTCATTTACAGTCCACTGTTTCTCCCGAGCTCGTTCAGTAGGATCAAGATCATAATGATATTGAACCTACTACCAGTTGACTTGTTTCATGCAGCTAGAGATCCAGGGCCAAACTGCGGGATGCTCACTATGTCCCTCCTCCCCCTATTTCTGCATTTCCGTATATCTATATAACTAATAGTAAATGTTTTGACTGACTATCTGGCTGCACTGGTAGTAAATACCAATCGAAATAGCATAATCAGCAAATTATTACACACCCCTTACACCAGATTATAAATCTAATTAACGCAAATTTCCCGGCTACCGTCTATTTTTAGCTCAGCTACCGCCGCATCTGTACGGGATCACACACTACGGTGACAACGTGCAAGACGAATGGTTCATCGTCTCGTTGCTGTTCCATCTTACCCGGCGCATTCCCGGTCTGTTGGCCAGGGTGGTCGATTCAGACGGGGAATTCCTGTTGATCGAAGCCGCCGAACACCTGCCCCGGTGGGCCAACCCGGAGCGATGCGAAGACCGAGTCTTCGTCTACGATGGCGAACTGTATCTTGTGGGGGCGGAAGACCAGAAGGATGCCTTCCCAATGGAACGGGTCATGCAGGAGCTGAATGCGGCGGCTACCCGTTCCAAGTGGATCGTTTCTAAAAATATTAAATCTTGCATTGAAGAACGGACTCGGGACTTCCCGGACAAGATCGAGGAAAACCATCACCGGGCGAATCTGTTCGTCCCGGTTGGAGTTGCCGCTGCTTTGAAAGAGAACCCTCAGCTCGTATCGGCTGCGGTTCTAGCGTTCTGCAATCGAGATCCCATCGATCTTAAGGCCTGCCAGGCGATGAGATTTTTCCCACCGGAAAGCTGCGTCTACACCAGTGCCGTGTTCACCAGATGTCTGTATGCTATGTTGGTGCACAGTAACTACCTGCCGGATCGCAGGACCGGTTGGAGTCTACCGTTGGCTAGCGATCCGAATCATAAGGCGCACATGTTGGGCCTGAAGCTAGCTTGTGGATTTGAAATTCTGGCATCGCAGGCAAAGTCCTCGCAATCCCTGGAAGCAGATAAAGGCTGGAAGAGCTACTTCGAGTCGTTGAAGGGAAAAGGTTACTTCCAGGAGAACATCGAGGGATCTCAGGTTTGTTATTTGTCAATTTGATCCTGTTTTCAACGCTTAATTTGACCATCTTTCAGGAATACACACGACTTTTGGGAATAGCCAAGGAATACTACCAGGAGAATCGTGATTCGATGAGATTCACACCTAAGATTGGCGAGGAAATTGTCTCGATTCTTAAACGCAACGACTACGATCCAGACGAGTTGCGTCAGCAGGGAATGAACCTGCCGGCTCCGGACGATGACAGTTGGATCAACATATCCCCCGAGGAGCTTGACCAGATGCTCACCGAGCGGTACGGTACCCGGCATCTGTTTTCGTTGAACGGAAATACCAACCCAGAGACATTTACCAGCATGGTGAACGACTTCCTGGAACAGAAGAGTGAATTCGATGGTGTCGATCAGGACGCTGCTGCTGCTGCTCTGCTGGATGTGGGATCGGTCAAACCGATCAAGCCAAAGCGCACCAAGAGCAAAGGTAAGGCGGACGTACTGAACAATCTCCCTCAGCCATCTCCTCTGCATCAGCCGATCGATTTTGACCCGGATGCCTTCGGTGGCCATGTCAAGCATATGCTGGATCTGGTGATCCCGGAGGATCGTTGGGACTCCTCGGATGCTTCCGATATGAGCGACTACGATGAAGACGAATACGATCAAAATATTGAAGACATGTCTCCGAACCGAACGGCGAAAGCCGTCAAGAACGAGCTCCAAACCTATATGGATCAGATGGACCAGGAGCTTGCAAAGACCGCTATCGGCAAGAGTTTCGAAACGGACCTCAACGAGCCAAACCAAGGGGAGGGACAAACCACGCGGCAGTCGGACGTGGATGACTTTGATGATATCGAAAGTTTCAAACCGGTCAATATCGACGTGAATGTGTTGAAGAATATGATGGAAAGCTACCAGTCGCAGATTGGCGGTCCGGGTCCGGCTGCTAATCTTTTGGGATCCATGGGTGTTCAACTTTCCAGGGCTTCCAGCGGACCGGGAGGACCGTCGAGGCCGAAATCAGGGAACACGAAACAAACGGACGTGTGAGCTGTGCAGTGATGCTCACCGATGCTTCCGCTTCTTACCGAAAGCTTGTCTCCGTCTCTTATCGCATGTCGCAATCAGTTTTCTAATTAGATAGATAAATAATAAGAAACGTATCAAGATTTATTGGAGCATTGTAGTGTCTGTCGACCCTCTGTTAGAGCAACGATTTTCCTACCTTCCGGCATTATTGGATCCTTAGAATCATAGTTAGCAATAGGTACTTATAACAGTGCACAAGGATATGAAAGACCAACCAGTTTATCACGGCGGAATGTATTTTGACAGCACGTAACTATTTAGCGCTTAAGTATTAGAAATATGAAGGCCATACGGACATCAGCTCTTTCTATATTGTTAGGTTGGATATGTTGCAGGATATAAGATGAGATTTTTAACCGGTAGTCACATTTCCCATAGGCAGAGGGTAAACCTAATGGTGGAGTGTGATGCATTTTTACCTTGAGCTACCTTTATAAGATAGGTAAAAATAGATCTGCTTGAATGTCTTTTGATAAGGCTTGTTAATGCAAATCCTTTTGGTTTTTTTTTGTGTGGAAAGAAATGTCCTTCCGCTTTCGGATATATGGGATGTTAGGCATCAGGTCAAACGGGTGATTTGTGGCAAAATTTCAATGGGACGCTTTCAAATTAATTAATTTATCTTTATTAGGGAGGTTTTCAGCCTTGGGCTGGTTCGCCTCCAACGCTTTCAAAGGGGGAGGTTGTTCATTGAAACTTCCAGTCCGCTTCGTAGCAAAGTGCTTGCTAAGAGGTGCCAGGTGGTAACCCACTGAAGACAAGGAAAGCATTTGGTACAGGACCAAGTCTCTCCCGGCTGGCGCCAAAACAATGAACCTGGAAGCAACTGGATCACGTTGTCATGGGGCACGAAATGATCGTGTTGCATGGTTTGGAGCTGTTGCAATCGAGGAAGAGGGGGGGGGGGGGGGTTGGTGCTAATGTTTAATTTGTTTTTGTATAATTTCAGGTGTTAAGGTGGTTCGCTGCTTCTGGATAGTGGGTTTGACGGCGGTTCAGCAAGAATAATATTGAGACATACGGGAATGCAACAAACGTGTCAAATTAACTGCATTGGTAACGAAAACACAGAGGAGCGTACACCTGATGTCACACACTAAGGTGATGGTAATAAGGTCGGTTATAATATGACATTTACACAAAAGCGGAGATCAAATCAGATTGGTCAACGTACCAAAATTCGAAACTTCGATTAAAACGTGGAATCTGTGCGGCACCAGTGGAGAACGCTCAAAAGCTGCAGGTCTCATCAACCGCTGCCTGCGGTATATAACTTGTGGCTGGTGGCCTCACAAATGGATCTCAGATGTAAATGTCATCAGAAGCCGATAGCAATAGAAACGAAGTCTGCAGGCAAGCGTTTGATTATGAATTAAATCCGCCAGAACATCGCAGCAAAGGCAAATACTAAGGCGGCGGAGCGTCAACAAGGAAATTAAGCAAGCCGATAAGAATTTGACCTGGGTCCAGGTCAAGCAGCTGCCCAGAATGAAAGTCTTTCACATTGGCCCTGTGCACCTCTGGAGGTTCCCAGGTATTTGAGTACGACGACGACGATGGACGTTGCCCCTTGGAACGGAATGAAAGCGAACACACCTGATGTTGCACAACAAACCGGCGGGGGGTTTTTTTTTTCTAGCAAAGCAAAATCGTCTATATCTCTTCTTTATTCTTTCAATCTCTTACTATCCCCTAATCGGACGATAGTGGGACCAAAAAGCCTGCTAGTGAAAGGAAAGTCGTTATGCTATACGGTCTAGCATAGGCCACGACTAAATTTCCGTAGGTTCATGCCTGGCTTAAGTGCAGATCGGTAGGCAGCAGCCTGCCAGGATGTGAACTGAGCAATAACAATAACAATAAAATTTCAATGGGACGTTTTCGAAATATTCTTCATATTCATAGTTTCTGAAAATTTCTTCCAATTCGCTTCTTTCCTTTACTTTCCTTCCATATTTTTATTTTATTTTATTAAATTCTTTATACTTCCTTGCAATTTACTACTTCTGAACTTCTGCATAAAGAAAATGAGATTTTTCAAATTATTGGACTAAATTGGCCGAGGGTTCCGGAGTTCTAGGATCAGTTTAGTTTTACTATCAGTTTTTACTGTTCTGTATGACCTCCTCTGATTTTTTTTGTGAAGATCTTCGTTATTTAAATGAAGTTCTTCGAACTTCTATAAACTATCCTCAAACTTCTCTGAAGTTCCCAAAATGTCTGTAAAATTCCCAAATTTCTATTGAATGTTCTCAACTTCTGTGAAGTTCTCTGCACATTTACGAGAAACATCAATAAATACATCAAAATAAATTTGAAATAGAGTTCCATTCGTGTTTCAAACCCGCTCAGAAATAAAACCGAATAGTCGAGCGGTGGCAAATCCGGTGCAAAATAGTGCTCGAATAATGCAACGCAGCATTGCGAAGGGTGCGTTTCTGTTCTAATTTCAAATATAAACAGTCGATATAAAATACAACAGCATTCCGAACGGCTTAAATCTTGTAGGTGAGTGTAAGGTCTGTGGGATGCAAGTGATGAAATGGATACCACCCTGGAATTTGCAGCCGTTGACAAAGCTGTGCGCGAAGAGAAAGAAAGGACGGTGAGAAGGAGGGGAAAGAAAAATAAGGATTATTCTTGTAACGCCGAGTTTGCAATTTCGTGTAATTTGCCAATAATAAAGAGTTTGATATTATCTGTAATAAACGTCTTCGACCATTGAAATAGGTTCGAAACACCACATTGGTGACCCGCGACGTCGCGAAACCTTTCAAATTCAGTCGGTTTACCCGCTTCGATCACAAAGACCCGTTTTTCGGAAAATCGTATGAAACTAACCTCAAAATGGCTAACCCGGAGCCCAACAATCAAGCTGCAGCAGTAGGTGTAAAATAACCGAACGTCTGGAAGACGGACCCGGTCATGTGGTTTGCGCAAGCTGAATCGCAATTCGCACTTGCCAAGATTACCAGCGACGAGACGAAATTTCACCATATCAGTGCTAACATTTGAAAACGGCACAAAAGCCATTTGTAAACAAATGGTTGTGGGCCCTTTACTCACTACTTGAAGTACACCCACGCGACACAACAGCAACATCGGGTAGGGGAAATTTTCCCCTTCCTGACGATGCTGTTGGTTTGCGTGGGCGTTCTTCGGGTAGCGAGTAAAGGGCCCACAAACCATTTGTTTACAAATGGTTTTTGCGCCGTTTTCAAATGTTAGCACTGATATTATGGCAAAAGTTGACCAGTCTGTCATTTGTCACATTGTCGATCTTGTTGCAACGCCGCCCGCCGATAACAAATACAATGCCGTAAAAACCCGACTGATCGCTCGATTCGCCCTTTCGCCGGAAAACAGGTTGGAACACCTGCTCGGAACGTACGAGCTGGGGGATCTACGTCCTACGCATCTGCTGTCAAAAATGCAATAAAATTTCGGTTGGTTTGGGAGTTGACGACAATTTGTTGAAGATGTTGTTTATCCAGCGTTTGCCCGCGAACATTCGTCCTATCATCACTTTTCACGACGGAACACTGGCCAAGCTTGCGGAAATGGCAGACAAAATGGTAGCTACAGCAAGCGTCCAGGTAGGGCCTCATAGCCTAGTCAGTAAAGGAACGGTATTACCAAGCCGGAGGCGGTGGGTTCGATTCCCGGTCCGGTCGAGGGAATCTTTCGGGTTGGAATTTTTTTCGACTTCCCTGGGCATTGAGTATCATTGTGCTTGCCATACAATATACAAATTCATGCATTGGTATTGGCATCGAAAGCTTTCAATTAATAACTGTGCATTTAGAATACTAAGTTGAGAGCACGCAATAAGCAAGCGTCCAGGCTTCAGCGGTCGATGTAAGCGGAATGGAGTCAGAAAACACGGCGGAAAGTTCTCTCCGGCCGGACATCGATTTTTTTGCAGAGTAAAAGAAAGTAAGTCCACTCGGTTCGAGTGACTAAAGACTAGTGAAAATTTATTTCTAATCAACAACTACTGTTGCTATGTTGGTTGCTAAGCTACAGTACACACCAAATTTAAGTTTTCAATATCAGTAAAACGTATTGCTGGATCATGATCAGCAATCCAATGCCTTGCTGAAAAACAGCAAACGATATTATTACTGAAAAATTCAGCAAACATAAACTAACACCCAGTCAAAGAGCTGTCAAACTGTTAGCATCACAGTCGCAAGTATTTTTATATTCTTACACCACCAGTCAAACTGCACGAAGAGGGAGAGATGAAAAAAATACGAATAAATAAAATTATATAGGTAAAGGACACTGGCTCGGACACTGGCTCGGACACTGGTTATATTTAATACAGCGATTTAAATTTGGTGTGTAGTATATAAGGCATTACCAACCGGTGAACACTCGTGTTTATTTCAGTTACCCTGGGGACGTAATTTGAGATTAGCCCCGGTCCCTTTCAAATTGTATCATTATTTGTGTACGGTCCTTATATTTGAAATGACGTTTCACATTCATCTAGTGATGGCCGATTTTCATTCGAATAATCGATTAATCGATTAACGAACCGAAAAGTAAAATATTTGTAATCGGTTATAACAAACCGATATAAGCATTAACATCTCCAGATGATCATCACCGAACGTTTCAAACATGTACTGCACTCTCATTTGTGGAAAAATGGCAGCACAGCGAACAAAAAGTAATTGATTAGTTGTTAATCGAATAATTAAAATATGGGACATCTCTGATGTTGGTGTGATTGTTTTGATCAAAATGAGCGCAAAATTTCATTTCTACCGAGGGGGCAGCAAAACCACAAAATTACCTTGAATACGGGGGGTATTCATTGCATGAAAGGGACCGTGAAAGAGGACACCAAAATAAAAAAATATTCTTCCGACAGTTTCATCTTAGTATTCATCTTTGGCATTACGTACAAAGTATAGGAAATCGTAGGTTGCTTCGATCTCTTCAAACACTCCCTCCTAAGCTACGAATCCTAATAATGTCTTAAATTCTTCCAGCTTCTGATTCATCAGCGGTTTGGTGAAACCGTCTGCTGGTTGCTGCTTCGTGCTAACATATCCCAGCTCGACGACTCCTCTTTCTAGCACATCTTTGACGAAATGGTACCTGATGTCCAGATGCTTGGTCCTGGGATTGTAGCCTTGATTGCGTGCGATACAGATGGCTGATTGATTGTCGCACCGGAGCAGAATCCCTTGGATGCCAAAAATCTGCGACTGGAAATGATGCCACCATAATGCTTCCTGGATGGTGCGGGAAAGCGCGATATATTCCGCTTCGCACGAGGATAGCGCCACTGCTGGTTGTCGCTTAACGTTCCAAGACACTGCTCCTCCCATGAACGTGAAAACATATCCGGTGGTGGTTTCCTGGAATCCGGATCTCCTCCCCAATCGGCATCTGTGTAACCAACCAAATCCGCGCAGTGCTCCTTCGAGTATGTCAGCCGTACTGTATTAGTACCTCGCAGGTACCGGATGATTCGCTTAACAGCGTTCCAGTGGCTACGGCCGGGATTGCTGTTGAATTGGCTAACTTGGTTGACCGCAAAACTGATGTCGCTTGCGCCAGATAGGTGACACAGCCAACTGCCTCATGGTAAGGAACTTGCTTCATTTCAAGGATCTCTTCTTGGGTCGCCGGTACCATCGACTTATCCAGGCTGATACTAGCCTCCGCTGGTGTGGAGACGGGATTACAGTTCGCCAGGTTGAACCGTCGCAAAATGCTGTCGATGTAGTGCTCCTGATCTACCCACAGCTTCCCTTTCTTCCTATCCCGCGTGATCTTCAATCCGAGACAGAAAGTTGCTTCGCCAAGGTCCTTCATTTTGAAACGGTTATGAAGGAACATCTTCAGCTTCCGCTTTGACTTGGCATCGTTGGTGAAGATTAAGAAATCGTCGACATAGATGGTGACGAAAATCATTTTTTCACCGACGATCCGAAAGTACAGGCATGGATCAACTTTGTACCGCTCCAGACCAAACTCTTTCAGCGCTTCGTCCAGCTGGTTGTTCCACACACGGCTGGACTGCTTCAAGCCATATAATGCTTTCCGCAAAAGACAGACTTGCTTCGAGTTCCCGGCAAACCATTCCGGCAGGTTCATGTAAATGACTTCATCCGTTAGTTTCCCTTGAAGGAACGCGGTGTCAGCATCCATCTGCTCTACATCCAAGTCGTGCTTCACTGCCAGCGCCAGAAGGTATCGGATGGTAGAATATCGTACCACTGGGGAATACACTTCATCGAAATCGATGCCTGGCCGCTAAGAGCACCCTTTGACGACCAGACGAGTCTTGTACCGCTCGATCGCACCGGTTGGTCCTCGCTTCGTCTTGAAGATCCACTTGTTTTGAATGGGCTTCCGGTCACTTGGAAGGTTCGTCAACTCCCACGTCTCGTTTTCTTCCAGAGCGGTGATCTCCTCACGCATTGCCGCAATCCACTGCTCGCGGTCCGGTCCATTGATCGCTTCCTCGTAGCTTTCGGGGTCATCAGAAGGCACCTGGAAATCGGCGCTCCCGGCCGCTGCGCCTAAACCCTTGCTGCTCTTCAGCTGGTCTATCAGATTGCGGCGGGAGCGCAGGCTCGTTTTCGACATCAACGCTGCTGGCGTCTTCGTATTCAGCATCGCTTGAGTCGCTTCCCGATGTACCGTCCGTATCATCTGATGCTTCAATGGTGTCGTTGTTATCCATGCTTGGTTGTTCGATCGTGCTCCATGAACTACACCTGTTGCACACTTTCGATGAGCTCGACCAAGTCCTGCGGTTTGCCTTCCTGAACCACAATCACGTCACGGCTGATCTGGAAGTCACGCTTGACCGGATCGTATACCCGATATCCCTTGACATCGGTGGCGTATCCCACGAAAACTGCTTTCTGGGATTTTGCGTCGAACTTCTTCCTTCTGTGCTTCGGTACGTGGACCAGTACTAGCGATCCGAAAATACGCAAATGGCTCAGATCTGGCTTCTTACCGGTCCATGCTTCTTCCGGTGTCATCTCAAGGGACCTCGTTGGACTCCTGTTAACGAGATACGCTGCCGTTGACACCGCCTCGGCCCAAAATTCCTTCGGGAGACGCAAATCGTTCAGCATAATAAATTTTCACTAGTCTTTAGTCACTCGAACCGAGCGGACTTACTTTCTTTTACTCTGCAAAAGGTTGTGGGCCCAGTTCCGCTTCCGTTGGCACCGTTCATCTGCTTACCGCTTGGTATCTTGAGTTGGAGTTTTTACTGCTTCTCGAAACATCTTTCTTCCGGCTATGACCAGTTCTGGTCAGTAAAAGAAGAGTAAAAGAAAGTAAGTCCGCTCGGTTCGAGTGACTAAAGACTAGTGAAAATTTATTTCTAATCAAAAACTACTGTTGCTATGTTGGTTGCTAAGCTACAGTAGTATATAAGGCATTAGAGCAACCGTACCAGTCGTTGCCATTTGCGACACTATTTTACTTACGCACAGCGTTTCCATTTTGGCTTAATCACTCCTCTCCACACTGATCGTTGCTATCAGAGTCATAATTTAAGTTAACGTTTTCCACACCGGCAAAATAAACTTTTGACGTTTATTCAAAATAGCAACCGTCTGATGCGTTGCTACCGGGTTGCTAAATTTATGAACTCACTACTTCCCAAGGTGTGGATTGCTATACAGCTTTTTGACGTTTTCGGCGGGAGTAGTGCGAAAACAAACCGTCCATTCATCCATGTGTGCTAGATAGAGAAAAACGACTAAACGTCAAAAAGGTCTATTTCCTCCACCTGAATAGCAACCTCCGGTATACAAGTAGCGTTATGGTAGAGGTTGGTAAATGTGCCTTATTTGCTCATTGGTACGATTGCTTTTACTAAAGGGCCTCCAACAACATCAAAAGTTCGTCGGATGCATCCTGAAAAAGCAAAAGCCGTAGGAAGAACTCAGAGTCATGTGCGATTTAGGAATTTGTCGGCCGTCTAGTAGTTGCTGGGCCAGTCCCTTACATTATGTGCCCAAAAAGAACGGTCAATGGCGTTTCGTAGGAGATTATCGTCGTCTGAATCAAGCTACGACTCCGGATAGGTATCCAGTACCTCACATCCATGAAGTCGTTCCATGGTAAGTCCATTTTTTCTACTATCGACTTAGAGAGAGCTTACCATCAAATCCCTGTTGAAGAGAACGACATTCCAAAAACGGCGGTCATTACCCCGTTTGGTTTGTTTGAGTTCACACGGATGCAATTTGGCTTGTGTAATGCTAGCCAAACGTTCCAGTCGTTACAGGAATCGGATTTTCGCTGACTTGGACTTTGTGAACTTTGACGATATATTTAGGGCTATTCTGCGCGGCGCGTGAGGTGAAGTGACAGTGAAGTGATGGTGAAGTGACAATTGTCACCTCGGGTGAGGTGACTCTCCATTTGATTTGCACGGAGATTCACCTCACCCGAGGTGACAATTGTCATTTCACAAGTGAGAGCGTGTCACCTCACCTCACACGCCGCGCAGAATAGGCTTGATGTATTGCTTCTTCCTCCGCTTCAGAGCATCTCGAACACCTACGAATCGTATTTGAAAGATTGCGTCAACATGGTCTGGTCATAAACGTGGCTAAAAGCGTTTTTGGACGCACTGAGGGAGTTCCTGGGATACCTCATCAGCGAAAGTGCTGTGCGTCCTCTTCCGGCATGGGTACGAGCTGTTATATACTACGAATTGCCTACGAGCATTAAGCTGGGTTTAGACAGGGCAAGTCAATTGATCAAGTCAGTTGAATTCAACTGACTTGAACGCGAATTGAACGTGTAAACCATTCAATTGACTTGATCAACTCACTTGAATTGAAAAAAGTTGAACCAGGTTCAACTTTTCAAGCCAATTGAATTAAACTGAGTTAATCAATTGACTTGCCCTGTCTAAACCCAGCTTTAAGGAACTGCGCCGCTTCTTGGCGCTTGTGAACGGGTATAAGCGGTTAATTCGTCATGCCACGGATATAGAAGCTGAGCTGCGGAAACTGATTCCAGGCAACAGGAAAAATGACTCTCGGAAGCTACATTGGACGGAGGCTACACGAAAAAGTTTCGAACAGATTTTTGTAAATTGTTACTTCACTCCTTTGAGAACGTAAAATCACCCAAGGTCAGTCGTCATGGTCATCGAAAAATATTCGTCAACGCAGAGTTGAGTTCTTGTACGCACATTTTCATTAGACTGGACTCCGTGAAACGATCGCTCCAGCATCCATATGAGGGACCATATGAGGTAGTACAGCAAATTGGGTTCTTTAAGGGTATTGAGGTTAATGCATATTCGAAATCTGCATTAAAAATGGAACCAGAACCCAAAATTTCATAAATTTTGGTACACTTGAACTATTTTAAATAAGTACGATTACATTTGCAAAAATCACCTTATTAGCGCCCCTCGGTGTCACTTTGTATGGGAGCGAGCTGTCAATTTGTCAGTTTAGTGTCAAACAGTGAAATTATTATTTTGCTTTAAATCTTGATTTAAAACTCGAGATGAAAGTGTGTTGGTTTGAAAAAAATATCGCTGTGCTCAGAAAACGACGCTCTTTCAGATGATATATAAAAAACGATATATTTTTCAAAGTTAAAGAGCCCAATTGATAAATACATGGATGTCATCATATCTGGGAAGACTCAGCGCATTTCGATCGACCGGATTAAACCTGCTTTTATATTCAACCCTGACTTCGAACATCATCCTTCGGACGATCACCGAACTATAGTTACACCAACAGGACACCGGATTAGATTTTTGGTGTAACTGGGGGGAGCTTGTGGGATGCAAGTGATGAAATGGATACCACCCTGGAATTTGCAGTTGTTGACAGAGCTGTGCGCGAAGAGAGAGAAAGGACGGTGAGAAGGAGGGAAAAGAAAAAGAAGGATTATTCTTGTAACGCCGAGTTTGAAATTGCGTGTAATTTGCCAAGAATAAAGAGTTTGATATTATCCGTAATAAACGTCTTCGATCATTGAAATCGGTTCGAAACACTACAGGTCTGTAAAAGTTCTAATGCCTGGATTTAGACCAGCATTATAATTTTAAGGATCGCTACTCTTGCTTCAAATCACACAAGGGCGTAGCCAGGTTTCGAGCTAGGGAGGGGCGAAAAAAAAATTACCATGGAAAATTTGGCCGAATGCCATTTCACCGAACGCCATTTCCTCGAAAGCCTTTGTGTTGCCTTTGTGTTGCCGATGTTCACACATTATTTCCTTCAATTACAAGATATGGGTACAATGACCTACGATGCTGCGCTTCCGCCCTCAGTGTGTTTGGACCTTTAAGTTAAAATCTGCTAGTTTTTGTTTTATTTTGTTACATAAAAGTCGTTTTTATTTGCTTTCTCTCATTAATATGTACATTAATCGTTTGTTACAACATTTAAAACAATTATTACATTACTTCTAAGGAATGGATATTGGTTTAATCAAGTCACACAAATTATGTTTGCTAGATTTCTTAATAAAAGTTCCCACCACGCTCGACGCACGTGGAAATAGATTATCCTACAGACTGTTTTCTTTAGAAATTAGGCTCAATTAACTTAGCGAAATCGTTTAAATTAAATCTTATTAGTAACGTCCGTTACAGTTACACTGGTTAAGCTTATTGTTTGTCCTTTCGAGTTTGTTCCGTTACTATTATTGCATCTCTCTTTCTCCATCCCGGTCATCGGACGCGACATCGACGAGCTTCAATATCGCGTAATCTCCCGATCGGAGTACTTCCCGCTCATTTTGCCCACCGAGAACCGGTCCGAGTACCGGTCCCGCTCGTCGAACCGGTCCGTTTTGTAGTCGATCTCGTGTGGCGTGTAGCCGATGCTCTTCTGCCAATGTTTGGTCCAGTAGAGGTCCTCGTTGCGCAGCTGTTCGGGAGTTTTCGCATCGCGGCACACGATCACGCAGTAGATCATGCTACCAATCAGCGTCGCGAAACCGAACACCAGGAAGACCACGCCCAGTATCCTGTGAATTGCGAAAGGGGTTAAAATTGTGCTCTGTTAGAACTCGGCCGAATGCATCTTACCACACGAACAGGGGCTCCATGAACTGCATGACTATCACGAAACCCAGCGTGACCAGAATCAGTCCCAGGTTGAGCAGGAGCATCAGACAGCAGACGCCCTTGACGTTCGGACAGAATGGGTTCGGAGCGGACATTGCTTCTACCTTGGCGCCGTGACGTCGCGAACTGCGGCCCGTTTTGGCCGTGCTGGCTACGCTGTACACGCTACGGGGACCACGCGAAGCATTGTGTTGGTTACGATGGGCACTGTAGCGGCTGCAATAGAGGGACATTTCGTTATTAGAAGGCAAACATTGTTTTCCCCTGCTAGTAGTTACCTTATTTCCGAGGGAGCTTTGTATGCAGCGGACGTGACGTAGATATCGCTTCCGGTTTCGCCGCCATGATCGTAGCTCAGAGCTGACGGTGCACGTGGTGGAGCGCGTGTCGGTGGACTAGAGAGTGGTCGTGGACCTCCGTTGGTGGTGGTGGTGGTGGTTCCATTCTGCTGGTACTTGTCCGTTCGGGACTTGCGGGATGGAGCCGTTGGTGGCGTGGCCCGTTCATTGGCCACGGTGTACTCCGAGACGGTTCGATCCGAGGGCGCCCGCTGGCTATCTTCGCCGTCCGTGGAGTAACCTCGGTTGGCTTGGGCATACGGCAGATCTACGGTATCGCGACCGCCATGGCTGGCCACGTAATGATTGCCCTTAACCCTGGAAAAAAACATAAATAACGCATTAGTGGGCGGTGATATGCATTTACTTTCGCTTTTAAAAGCTGTGTAAAAACACGCTCCCATTTCACACACACTTTGGATGAGAGGAAAAGTTGCAAACTCACTTTTTGACCGTTCGCTCGTGGATGTTTTTCAACATTTTTTTCGTTTTTTGGTGGCGATCCGACTGGAAGTGCTACTAAGATGATGGAGGTGGGTGGTGGTGTTGGAACTTTAAACGCTAGTAATTATTTGATTGCCGTCGGACGGTTTCCCCTTGGTTGGTTAACTTTTTGTTTCGTTCGTTCAGTTATTCGGTTTCGATCTTCATGATCATGATCAATGTTTCGTGATCGCCGGTTTGAATACACTTCGGCTGGTGATCTAGAAGGTTGATCCGTCGTGGTCGTCGGCGTCGTTTCCCATTCACATAGTCTCACGCGTGAGTGTGGCTACCTGCCTCGAGGTCTGGCCAAGCTAGAGTTGCCCCCGATCGGTGGAGAAAAGAGATCGGTGCTGGTTGATTTCAAAGAGCCAAAATTGATGGTTTCAATAGCTGGATGAACCTGAAAGTGAAATTGAGAAGAGAATGGATTATAGTTATTATGGCTTGATTTGCTAATGAAGGTTGCGGGTGCGGGGCAGAGGGTAAATCGGTTGTTTTTTTCCTTTCTCCCGTTTCGTGCTTCTGTGGTGGACCGGAGCAACTTTTAATTGGTTTTACATAATGTGGGGTTTATTGTTTTTCTTTTTTTCGATTTAATTGGAGCGATTGGATAACATAAGTATAAGTTGGTAAAGGAGATGTAAAACGATGGTTGAAGATTTGAACACAATTTTCTCCAATTATTAGGCTCGAGGTACTCGAGGCATGTTGCCATAGTTAATCATAGGCAGCTTTTTTTTATAATACTCATGTACAATCAAAGGAATTTCTCTCACATATCCAATTTTTCTCATTCACTGAATTAGTTATTCTGACGAAAACCTTTTTTTATCTACATGGGGTGAGGATTGACTCTTCTTACAAACTTCAAATCCGACAACAGACCTTGAATCCATTTTTAGGAAGATATCAGAAAATTTCATAATGAGGACAGTCAACAATGAACACTGGAGTGGCCCTAATCAGGTCAATCCAGAAATTTCAAACAGCCTACTAAAGTTTGAAGCTATTTGGTTCACGGGAAATTTGTATGGGAAAAATCGCCAAAATGTATTGGGGAATAAGGCACTTTCACATTTTTGGCTCTAGTTTGCGCTTTAGGTATTCGATTTTCTTGCTGTGAAAAATGAAGAACCTTTGGGGTCAAGATCGCATGTCAATCCGCTAACCCTGAAAAGTTATTATAGCGTTTGAATTCAACGCCAATTCAAGGGCCTAACGCGATTTGCACGGTTTTCACCAAGAACAGTAATATGTGCACAGTTACGGTCTATTGAAACGGGAAAAGGATTGGCCCAGTGGTTACGGTTTTATTCCGAGTTCCGCAAGGGCATCCGGCGGGGGTGGAGGTACCAGTCGTCTAGAACATAAGGTGATGCTGTAAAACCACAACAACGGGCTTCTACACTGAGGAAATTGTCTCTACAATTTCCATAAGCTGCGTCGTATGAACGTATTTGTTTTAACTAGTTCGTTTATTTACTAGGCTCAGTCGTGTGTGACACTTTGCGGAGCCAAAAATCAGTAATCTTTGAATTTAAATTTTACACAGCAGTAGTTCCAGGTTAGTATTGGGTACACTGAGGAAATTATAGATGTGATTTTCATAGTCATTATCGCATACACTTTCATACGCTTCGTATGAATTCATAACATTCGTATACACATCATTGTTCAATACAATCATAGATATACGACAATCGTGTGAAGTGCATAGGTCACCGTATGATTTATGCAAAAAGATTTATTGAAAACAAAATCATCCGATAATCGTATGAAATGTTTGCTGACCGAAACCAAGATGGCGGATAGAACAGTAATATAATGTCAGTTTGGTGAACGTAAACAAAACCTTATGTTGACAAGTAATTATGTTTTGCACGTTATGGTTATCTACTTTTACATCATGATATTATTGATTTATAGCAAGCAGAATCAGTAGCAGCGGTATACCAACAATATACAGCTTTGTCAGCCACTGATCACTCCTGCACCGGGCCAATGCTGGCAGATATAGTGCATCCATGAGGAGTTGATGCGGGTCGCGGTTCCGGTCACGGCAGCTGTTGTGCTCATCATCATCAGCATCATCAATCACCTCCCAGAAGTAGAACCAAATTTATTAGTCTAGAATTTATTCGGCATGATTTCAATAAAATTGTTTACTTAGCAGATTTTTTTTTTAAATTGTCGAAAATAGCACAAATCAAGTTGCATTAATGTCCCTAATGAGTTTCATACGACGCATCGATGAAATTATTTGCCTCAAAATGATAAAATAATGTTCATAGCTAAATCTTATGAAATCCATAATAAATTCTTGTCGCAAAGAATCATACGATATTACCAACAATCAATACGAAACTAACGATCTAAAATTGGCTCACTACTTGACTAGCCTATTGGTCCCAAGCAAACGATTAACGTACCCCATTCTAGACGAAATTCTAGTACTACGCAATGTTTATTTTGATTCGCTATGAAAGTTTGACAGGTAAAGTGAGGGGTTATTGGTTTTTCCTATGTTTCGAGGGGTGAATCGATTAGCTTGGGACCGAAGAGAGTACCAGAGTTGAGCCAAAAAGTTGAGCACGTTATTTCGGGACCTTCTAGGCTTAGAGTTACCTCTATGATATTACCACAAACGAAGTGACAGACGGAGCGGCTCGAAAACTTTGGTGACTAACCTGCTATTTCAATTTTTCAGTGTACCACATGGCAACACCACTACTACTGGATTGTACTAGCATTTTCACCAAATGTATTAGAATGTTTTGGTTCTATCTCTTTCACTCTACTCAAAACTGAAATGCATAAAAAATGACAAAATGATACACTCTTTGTACACTGTCAAAGAATCATTGTACACAAAATAAACTTTGTTCAAATCAAAACAAAAAAATTAACCCATCTGGTGGATGATGGCACAAGCTTCCAAGAAAATTCTATTACAGTGAACCACATTATTTTAATGGATTTCTTCGCCAGTTAGTCGTCTGTCACTTCGTTTGTGATATTACTATGAAAATTGCTCGATTTGTATTCTCAGTGTACCAATTACTCGTGGCGGGCTCGAGGTTAATGGGTAACAAATTCGATTGGAAGGAGCAAGGTAGGAAACTGGTTTCTGAAGCCTCCTTCAGATACTACTCTCGGACGGTTGACCACATTCTGGCTGGGCAGGGGCAAGTAGCACAGAAACAGGAGGATAATAAGACTGGGACACAATGGCTGGAAATTGTTTGGAAAAGAGGGGATGGTCAAATCAAACTCTAACATCAGACAAACAAAGGAATTCGTAGATTGCCTGCATGTAGGGAAGATCACGGGTTCCCAATATATCTCTTACTTCACGGAAGGGTTGTCTACATCGGGCCACCAGGGTATCCAATATATCCAATATCGTGCTCTGGAGGCGTCATTACCTGGGCAATACCAAACTGCGTGATCGATGTCGTTTTGCACCTACATATATTGCTGTCAACGAAGTTTATTCTACAGAGATGTGCATCTAGCCAGTAGTGGTTGGACATAAGTCTTGACATCACGCGAATGAAGCCCCGACTTACATCCAGACCTTTGACCCCGCTCTCGAAGAAACATTTGGAATAATGGAATACAACCACCGCCCAAGAGAATTATTTGTCCAATCGTTTGGCCAACTTAAAAGAGAACTTTGACGTACTAATGGGAAAAATTCATTGTGTGAAATTCTGCTATCATAAATCTCGCCTTATTGTGTGCCCACCTTTGCGAGAGAGTCTGCCTACTCATTGCCTGCGATTGAGCAATGTGAAGGGACCCATACAAAGGTAATCCTTTATGATCTTTCGACCAGCAAACTGCTCCCTTACCTTGGAAATGAAATAATATGAGTGCCTACCTTGTTTCATCGACCGAATAGCCTCAATCGAACTGAAAAGGCCTGTACTCGAAAAAAAAATGCAGCAGACAAAAGTGTTCGCCGAAAATTTATTTTAAGTCGGATTTTCTCGGAAAAGTGAAAGTCGAATGGTCATTTTCATCCATTCTTTCTTCAACTCCAGCGCGTTCTTAAACACCTTGGACGATTTTCGAACTTTAGCCTTCATTATGGCCCAAAATCTTTCCACCGGACAAATCTCTGGTGAATTTGAGGGCTTGGCGGTTTTTGGTACAAAAACAACGTTATTGTCTCTGTACCAATCCAACGTCGATCGCGTAATGGCATGATGCCAGGTCCGGCCAAAATAATGTCTCGCCTCCGTGGGACCACAGGAAAGGCAACAGACGCTTCTCGATGCACTCGGTGCGGTAAATTTGAGTGTACCCCATTAGGCATAAATACGTTAGGCATACGGATGTTAGGCATACGGACGTTAGGCATAATGGACGTTAGGCATAAAGTCATTAGGCATAATTGACGTTAGGCATAATATACGTTAGGCATAATGGACGTTAGGCATAAAATACCTTGCTGCTGTGCAACTCTAGAAACCTGCTTAACCTGTAAACCTGTAAACAATGCTTAAATTAGGCTTAGCGTTAAATACAAAATGATACAAGTTGAACAAACATAGTTTATTTAATAAGCACAGTTTGGAATCCATTATTTATCATATCATAAGTGACGTATCTACATATTTACTTAGTAGCGATGATTAGTAGCGATAGTGGTTAAGTAATCTTACAATGAAAACTCAGCTTAGTTTTGAACTATATCTTGAAATCACACATTTGTTGTAATATATTCTTACACACATATTGCAAAAGTCAAAGAAGAAAAGGTTTTCCTCAAAGAACAGCTCATGAAATAAAGAATGGTGAATTCTGTGATTTTTCATTCAATAACAAAAAAACAGCCAAGGTTGAATAAAATATGATGCCAAAGAACAGCTCATGAAATCAAGAATGGTTAATTCTGTGGTTTTTCATTCAATAACAAAAAAACATACCTGCTGCTTCCAGGATTTCCTGCCATACTTTTCGATACAACGATTCTGATTTTGTTGTCATCAGAATGAAAACTAGCGGAACCGTCTGCTGATGTGAGGGAGCGATACTTCCATGAACAGTGACGAGTTGCCGAAACAAACTAGGAACTGTGGCAAACGTACCATCTGTAACCCAATACTTTGCCTGCCCAAGACGTCGTTCATGAGTTCCAAAAATTAAGGCTCTTTCATTATTGTCACCGAAGTCAGCAATCAATAGACGGTCTCCATTATCATCCTTCTGGAATTCATCCGGTAGATTATGCCTAACGTCCATTATGCCTAACGTCCTTTATGCCCAACGTCCATTATGCCTATCGTACATTATGCCTAACGTCCGTATGCTTAACGTACGTATGCCTATAGTCCGTATGCCTAACGACCGTATGCCTAACGTCGTGCACCCGGTAAATTTCGCTGTTGATGG